AAGTCAATTATGCCACGCTATACTTTTCAAATTCTGCTTTATTTCAAGTTTACATGCCAATGGAAGTTGTTGAAAAGAGAAGATGGGGCGTTGTGCTGAACAGATTATGCAGAAAAGTGAGGATGACAGCAGTGATAAAGAGATGCATGATCTGGTTTTTCTGGTTCTCACTTCCTTCCAATTTCAATGCCAGTTCCAATGGTGGAGGCCACATTTTGTTGTCACCTTTTCCTCTTCTAATATAGGATAACCGTGTGGACCCCTAGCACATCTTCCTTTTTCCTTTCCTTCGCCTAATTCCAACTCACACCATCAATTTTTGGTTGCCAGCGAAATTGCCATTATAATTTAACTTTAAATTATGACGCTGGTCAATGTTGCAATTTCAGGGTCCCCATGTGAGAGTTTTTATCATCATCATCAATTTCTTTTTAGACTTAATAATTTTAGGATCCGTTGGGTGCAGTTTTCAAGTGCTTTAATTTTTTTATACTATTTATGTTTTATAAATTATTTATTTTTTTAATTTTAAAAAAATTATAAACAGTAAAAAATTAAAAGTTTTAAATTTAATTTTTTATAATTTTTTTTTTTACTCACTTTTTACTTTTTTTTTTTTTCTATCTCTAAAAATAACTTTTAAATTTTTCTTCAACTAAAAATTTGAACTTATCATGAACAATAAAAAAAAAAAACAAAAGTTTCAATAAGCCGCACCAAATAAGCCCTTAATGTCATGAAATGCAAAACCAAAACGCCATCGTTTTTTATTTTCTTTTTCCTTCTATTTTTTTGCTTGATTTTGATGTAGCCGTAGCCTCCCTCACACAGCTCGAATCATACAATAATTCATTCAACCATCACCACACCAAGAAATAAACAATTTTATGTCCAAATTGAACAGTTGTTCATGAAGTGAAGTAAATAGTAGATATAAATTACAAATAGACTGCGGTGATGGTAAATGAAAGCATTACTTTCAAACATTACTTTCAACATTCTTCAATCTTCGTGTAATTCTAAATATTAGAAATAAATTACAACTGAGTTGTTCAAAACATATGATATATCAAAAAAATATTAATATAAGGTAAAATGAATGAACAGAAAATACCAAATTTTCGATGCTATGATTAAGTAATAAGGATACATTGGCACACCAGATTCTGGAAGTTGCCTGACAGGGGTTCACTGACTTTCAACGCCCTTTGGGGTTCATGATCTGTGAGAACACAGCACTTGGCGTCAACCCGTCGGAGTCTTGGCTTGCCACGCTCCGGCCACCTATGCTCATGCTCATCCCACTGCTCCTGGAGTCTGTCACATTGCCATTAAAACCAGGGGATGAAGTGGGATCGTTCTTGCCTTTACAGGCCATGTTGAATGCATCATCCTCAAAATCCATTTTGCCAATTCCCGTCCCACTCTCTTCCGCACTCTCTTGTAGCTGAAGAGCAAATTCTAGGTTCCAGAGTACATCACCCATTGATGGCCTGCTGATACCCTGATCAGACACACACTTCATTGCTGTCTCGGTGAACTTTCTGAAGCATTCTGGTGCAATTTTTCCCTTCAGATAAGGGTCAACAATCTGATCTAGGATGCCTTTCCGATGGCAGTGTGCAGCCCACTCTGCCAAGCTCACCTGTTCCTTTGGTAGTGTGGGGTTCAAGGCTGGCCGAGCACAAAGGATCTCAAAGAGCACAACTCCAAATGAGTAAACATCAGACTTATCCGTTAGCTGCTGCCTTCTAAAATACTCTGGATCCAAATAACCAAAGCTACCCTTCACCACAGTGCTCACATGAGTGTGATCCAACGTAGGGCCAGTTTTTGACAATCCAAAATCAGAAACTTTTGCCACCCACTTCTCATCCAGAAGAATGTTAGTTGTCTTGACATCACGGTGGATAATAGTGTGTTTTGCACCAGTGTGCAGATAGTGCAAACCACGAGCAGCTCCTATGCATATCTCAAGCCTTTGCTTCCATGGCAGAGGAGGCTTTTGCGTTTTGTACAGATGTTCCCGCAATGTTCCATGAGCCATGTAATCATAAACAAGGATCATTTCAGTGTTCTCTTCACAATAACCAATCAATGAAACAAGGTGGCGATGTCGGAGTTTTGAGAGCATTTCAATCTCAGTTTGGAATTCATGTACACCTTGTTCAGATAGTGGGTTTCCACGCTTGATTGCAACTTTTGTTGTTCCACCATCAATTTCTCCTTTGTAAACTTTGCCAAAACCTCCAACACCAAGAAGTAAAGCTTCATCAAAGTTGTTTGTAGCAGCTTTGATCTCAGCAAATGAGAAGTGACGACAAAGGTTTGAAGGAAGCGATGAAGCATAGCTTCCAGTAGTGGTTGTCTTTGCTGAACCTGCAGAGTGTGAATTTCCATACAAGGAAAGAGGAAGCCACCCTGATGTACCATCACTCGAACTTGGGACTTTTCCACGCCTGTAGTGACGGGAAACAGCAAACACACAGAAACCAACAAGAAGGGCTAGGGCAACTCCACCACCAATGCCACCTGCAATAATTGCTGTCCGCTTTGAGTGGCCAGAACGAGGCAGCAAAGCCAATGAGGGATTAACATCATTTGGCGGAGCAGGGATTGGATTGAGCCCCGCAAGGTTGCCACTTGTATCACTTATCTTGAATATCTCCACGCCATTAAGGATTGCATCATAAAGTTGCGGCTTATCAGCCGTGTCTGGATGCAACGCAAGCCATAGATCCTGCTGCGGACCTCCAACTGGAACACGCACCACAAAATCCTTGTACACAGGAATTCCAATAATCCCATTCTCTCCTGCCCAGGCAATCACATCTGCTCCCTCTTGTGCAGTTTGATTGTTGAGGAAGATGTTGAACACTCTCTGATGGATCAAAGTTACATTTGGAGTGAACTCACAGAAATGTAGCCTAACCAGGTAGGAGAATCCAGAGTCGACACTGAAAAGCCAAGTCAAATTGTACCCTGCATTAACCGCAGGAGACGGTCCCATGGATCTAGCGGTGGCATACACAGTTGTTGGGGCAGTGTAATTTGGAAAACGAATATAATCAAATGTCACGTTTGGATCAGCAGCCCCTGTAACCCCAGATGCTGCCCCAAAAATGTAAGGCAGATCATCATACCATGACCTGAAGAGACCCGTATCCTTAGAAGGAGAGATAACATTTCCACCCACATTCAATCGGTAAACATTCTCGAGCGCAGTGCCATTATCAATGGTGAATGAAGCATTCAAACCCACAATCATCAAACTCCCATCAGTACTACTATAAATATCAGGCATTGCCAAAACCTCAATCCCATTCACAAAGGCATAAGCACCTGAGGCCGTAGTTGGACTGAATGTGATATTCAACATCTCCCCATCAACATTGACCGAATACTCCTTAACGAGAAACAAATAATTCAAAGCTTCGGATGTTTGAGCAGCACTGAAATTCCGAAGAAGCGTATATGATCCGGAAGTGACAGAAAACAGAGCATTTGTAGCATTAAGTCCATCATATGAATTAGAATAAAAATACAACCGAATAAACTTCCGACCAGCTACCACTGGGAAACTGTAAGTGAAGTTGGACCGGAAAACCCTGGCAGACATGTAAGGGACTGAAGGAACTCCAGAGACCTGGGTGGCAGCTTTGGAGACCACCGATTTCCCATCCCCCAAAAGCTTGGACCCTACATCCGGTATCCATTTCCGGCCATCGTCATCGATGGCATCAGAAGACTCCCCACAATTCAGGAGGAATACCTCAGTCGGTACATAATCTGCAGCTCTAATGACATGAACTATAGAGGCCAAGGAAACCAAAACGAGAATGGAAACCAGAAAATACCTATCAAAGTTCCTCATGAACTCGAAACCAACAATTTCCCAAGATCCAAACGATAAGGAACTAAACTATAGATCCCAGCTCAAACCCACAAATTTTTCGACTGAAAGGAGCTAGATTTGGACCAAAACCAGATCCCGAGGAAGATATTGCCGAGAATGCAAGAATAAAAGGAAGCAATTGACTTTAAACAGAGACTGAGTGCAAAAGAAATCTATCAAAATGAAGAAACTTTCACGCCAGTTGAAGTAAAGGAAGGAGATTTACCTCAGACCCTGAAGAGAAGAAACAACCCACTGAATCAAACCGGAGAAGCTTCGCCCTTTGCTAGAGCTCCGGCGAGGGAGGAGAGAGATTTTAGAGAGAAAATGTAGTGAAAAGAATCAGAAATCGAAAAAATACATGACTGTTGTCTGAAGCAGGTAGCTGCCTTAATGCTGAGTTAGGCCCTTCAATCACTGAGGTTATTTTCAAACAAAACGTCACTATTGGTACCTGTACTCTCAAACTCTTAACACTTTTGTCCCTATACTATAGTTTTGTGGACTACTTCCATAATTCAAACTAAAAAAAACCTGTCCGATTTAGCAATTTTTTGAGTTTAAAGTGTGTATAGAGTTTCGTATTTTTTCTTCTGATGGGAACTTGTACTCTTCTCTTGATGCAAGTTAGAAGAAGTTTTGAATTTTTAATCTTAATTCCAAATTTAAAATCTTTTAATTGATTAGTACAAACTTAATTAATACTCCGTTTGAGTTAGTTATAGTTTTTGTAGTAAATAGAGCTTGTACAAATTGCCCCATGGGTAGGCAACACATTGCATTAAATTTAGCTTAATCTATATATGTCACTTATAATTACTTACTTATATAGAATAGTGCCTATTCGCCTTACCTTCTAAAGATTAGAAGGAAAATCATTTCAAAATTACGTCGTTTTAATAAATCCTCATTAAAAAAGATTAGAATATCCTATTTTTAAAGCATGAATTAAAATATTTTTTGTTTTTACCTATAGTACTTTATTAAAACTACGTAGTTTTGAAGTGATTTTCCTCATAATCTTTAGAAGGTAAGATGGATAAATACTAATTCTTTACTTATATATGTCACTTATAATTACTTACTTATATGGAATAATGCCTATTCGCCTTACCTTCTAAAGATTAGGAAGAAAATCATTTCAAAATTACGTCGTTTTAATAAATCCTCATTAAAAAAGATTAGAATACCCTATTTTTAAAGCATGAATTAAAATATTTTTTGTTTTTACCTATAGTACTTTATTAAAACTACGTAGTTTTGAAGTGATTTTCCTCGTAATCTTTAGAAGGTAAGATGGATAAACACTAATTCTTTACTTATATATGTCACTTATAATTACTTTAACCTTCTAATATGATTGAAAGTATTACAATTTACAAGTAACTTCACTCTTTATGAGTAAGGAAAACCTACACTTTTGCCCAATACCTTGACATGATACTCATCCAATTCTCATATCTAGAACAATAGAACTTCTTATTTTATTTTCCAAATCCCATTATCTTTTTATTCAACATGACATCACTTCTTGGGCAGATAATGAATTATATAATAAGAAATAATTATCTTAAGATTTTAACTCAAGATATATAGAAAATATGAAAGATCAAATTGATACTCTTAATTGTTGAGACATCTCCTTCAAGATTAGGAGACTAACACTGTGTTTGGGTTGAGAAAAATGGAGGGGATGAAAGGGAAATGGGAGGAAAGAAAAATGAAGAGAATATGCACACTCTATTTGGATATATAGTTAAAAATTAATAAAGGAAAACAAAATGAAATGATAGAAAAATTTATCATCCCCTCTAATTTCTCTTCTTATCTAAATAAAAAAAGGGAAATTCATATGCACAACAATCAAGCAACGAATTACATGGCTTGTCACGTAGTTCACTAACTTGTTTTTTTATAATAGGAAAATTTTAAATTATTTACTTATATGATATTATAAGTTTATTGTCATTATATGAGTGACTGTTTTAATCTTAAAGTTCATTCATGACATTGTATGCATGTATTTATTTAATAACATGTTATAATTCTTAGTTTATTTTTTTTACCTAAAAGTCCATCTATGATATTGTATATATCTAATTATTAAATGACAAATCATAGTAAGAAATTTTTATTTAGAGATTTATACGTAGTATTATATGTATGTATTTATTTAATAATATATTATAATTATATTTAAATTTTATATGATATTATAAATATATTATTAATTTTTTATTTTAAAAATACATATTAGCAAACAATGTGGTAAGCCACAAAGTTCATTGTATAATTTGCAATAGCATAGCCGTTGCATGTAAAAATAAAAAATGTTTCTCATTTCTCTCAACTTCATTTCATTTTGTTCAACCCAAACATAATTTTATTGTGAGAAGAAAAAAAGAAGAAAGTAAAGAAATTAACTTTTTTTAACGATAAGTTATCACTTTTCATATTTCTTATCATATATCTAAAAATTCACATGTGAAACCTTTTTACTTAAATTTTCAAACTCTTATTAAGTGATACTCCTCTCTTGGGGCATAACTAGCAGAACTTCTTCTTCTATGCATTTGCTGGCTTTAGGGACAATGTTGCAGTTTGAGAATTTTAAAACACTAAACTCCCATGGTCAGAGAAAAACTTCTGGAACTGAAATTCCAAAATATTGAGAGTATAGGGCTCTATACCATATAGTGCCACGTGCCATACTTGCTTTTAGTTAGGTACCACGGTGGGGTAATAAATTTGTGAATTTAATAAAGTACATAAGATTTTGTACAATTTTAAATTGACCAATTATCGGATTATGGGGTCTGCTATTTTGTTAGGAAAAAAAAAAGGGTTAGGTACTACGGTGGTGTGTTGAAACTTGAAATGACGAAAATGATCTCACATGCGTTCCCGTTGTCGTCAAAAACGCGTCGATGGATGGATGGATAGTGGGCTGGTTCAAAGGTAGGAGAAAGTCCGACTGTGTCTCGGAGATATAGTTGATTTGATATCCCCAATCAATTATAACATGTCCCACAATTAAAAAATTCTTCATTTTATTAACCAGGTCAGCTCCTTTAACAGTAAAAATAATAATGTGGTACGTTGTGATTTGTCGAAAATATCACGATACTCTGAGATACAGCAGAATTTTTCCCATGACAGACAGGTCAGTGCTGGAATTGAGCGCAATGCGTTGGAGACGCGTTTTATTTATTTACTTATTTATTTATCCTTAAATGGGTGCTTTCGGTGATGGGCCCCGAGAATCTTGGGTGCAACGATGGTGAGGATCCAGATTGGAAATTTGGAACAACTAAGGTGGATCCATGTACTGAGATTTGTTGTGGCTTGTTAATTGTAATTGAAAATTTATTTAGGAATAATATTTTATATTATTTTTAAATAATTTTATATATTATTTAAATAATTAATTTTTTTATTCATTTAAAATTTATAATATTAAATACATCTACTCATTTAATAATATATAAAAATTATATAAAAAATAATATAAAAAATTATCTTTATATTACCACTTATTATAATTTTTTTAAAAAAATTTTAATTTGTACTCTTAAAGTATAAATTAAGAGTATTGGCACCTGATGCTTGAGGTTCAGTGACATTAGCTATCGGTGCATTCTTCTTCGGGCAGGATTCGAAATCCGCCTCTTGCAAAATATGTTCAAAAAAAATTAAGAGTGTTGAAAGAATAAAAAATAATATTTAATTTA